GCCAGGTACTAACCAGTGAAAGATGCCGTCTTGAGCTGTGTGCTGCAGGTGGCCGACACGGCCGGAAGAACAAGCTCCAGCTATTCCATCCGTGGTCACCCACACTAAGATCCTGGAGAAGGAGAATTTCCCCCAACCAGTCAGAAGGAATGGCTTTCGTCCAAGCAGAGACGGAGGAGGTGGCGCGACTCTCCTTAAGGAGTGGCGACCTGAGGTAGACAAAACAAAGAAAGCGTAGTTGGGAGAGATGGCACACACACACACACACACACACACACACACACACACACACACACACACACACACACACACACACACAGACCGAAACAGACAGATGTGTGGACAGACCGACCAACCAACCGAGCCACAGACCCACCAACTCAACTGATCGACATTGTGACCTACCAACCGACGGACTGACTGATAGCCCGGCTGACGGACCGACCAACCGACCACCCAACAGAGACAGACAGACAGACCGACGGATGGACGGCATACAAGCAGAGAGAGAGAGAGAGGGGAAGGGGGGAGGGAGGGAAAAGAGAGAGAAAGGAAGAAGATAGCTTTGGGAGAAGGAAAGGGGATAGTGAGCGAGGACAGAGGGAACAATTCGTGAAAGTAGGCCTCAAGATCGCACTGACCTGGCAGACAACCTGCTCTTCAGAGCTTTTAAATCTTCCACCCTTTGACGACATTATTGCAGCTGTAGATTGCCTGCCACAGCGGATCACATAGCATCGTCAAAGTATTGCGTTTTCTGTCTACTGTGCTCCGACCAGATCTCCGACAACGACTGTGATTAACTGCCTCTTGTGGGAAGTAGCTTTATGTTATCTCATATGACGATATTATGACCTCAATGCAACCACACCCAACCGACTGCTACCACTTCAGCGTAGCCCAGACTAGCAGCGCACACTACAGTGGTCTTCCTTCTCTGCCATTACATCAGCTTCCTCCCTTCTGTACCCACAGTCAGCCCTCTCTCTCCCATGCCCTACACTCACACCCTGTTTTTCAGACGCCACGGAAATGACACCTTTCCATCGCCTATACCCCCTTCCTCTCAGAGAAACAGACAGGCAGGAGGACAAACAGATAGAGGGATAGACAGACGTACAAATAGAAACCTCAAAATGCAAATGGACGAACAGGGTGTCTTGGAAAATTTGTTTGTTTGTTTGTTTTGTTGGGGGGGGGCGCGGGGGGAGGGGAAGAGAACACTGATACAAAGACTAACAGACAACTACACAAGGAGATATAGAAAGAAACAGCCAAGTATACGTGCGAATAGAGAATCTACGATGGATCAATACTGGTTCTACCTTCACAGGTGGACACAAAGTCATACATACGCTGCTACCACTGCTATGATGTTCGTGCTGCTATTATTTATTCCTTTCCTGATATGCTACTGCTATTCCCATGTCGCTTGCTGACTATTCAATTGCTGCTATGCTACGTAGCATAGCATAGCATAGCATAGCATAGCATAGCATAGCATAGCATAGAAGCAACATGGCAAGCATATAATAACACGGCAGCAAAACGGCTGCGCTATGCTATGCTATGCTATGCTACGCTACGCTATGCTATGCTATGCTACGTAGCATCACGACAGCAGCATAGAATAGAATAGAATAGAATAGAATAGAATAGAATAGCATAGCAGCAACTTGCTGATTATTCTATCGCTGGCTGCCATGATGCTGCCATGATTCTGTCGTGATGCTGCCATGGTGCTGCTATGCTGCTGCTATGATGATGCTATGACGAGGCTACGATGCTGCTGTTGTTTCTTTTGCTGCTATGATGCTGCTGCTCCTAGTTGCTGCTATGCTGCTGCTCTTTTTGCTGCTATGCCGCTTCTTCACTGTTTCTTTTGCTGCTATACTGCTGCTCTTTTTGCTGCTATCCCGCTTCTCCGCTGTTTCTTTTGCTGTATACTGCTGCTTCTTTGAGGTTATGCTGCCGCTTCTTTTGCTGATATGTGCTGCCACCGTCCTGCTATCCTGCTGCTATGTCCCTGATGCTGCTGCTGCTAATTTCCTGCTGCTCATTTCCTGCCGCTGTCCCGATCTCCTGCTGCTGCTGATAAGGTATGCCGCTGATGATAAGGTATGTCATTGAGATGCTGATGCTAATGCTGCTAATTTCTTGCTGCTCATTTGTTGCTGCTATGCTGTTACTGTGCTGCTGCCATCCTGCTGCTGCTGATAAGATATGCCATTGAGATGCTGATGCTGATGCTGATGCTGATGCTGATGCTGTGATAAGATATGCCACTGTGATGATGATGCCATCCTGCTGCGAAAAAAGATGCTATGATGCTTCTATTTGCCTGTGCTGCTGCTATGCTGTTGTGCGGATATAGCAGTATTGTGCTGCGGCAGAGGTGCACATATGTCGTGGCTGTGCAGCTATAGTGATAAATTGTTGCTGCACATTTGTGCTGCCATTGATCAGCTATGCTGCCTCACTGCTCTTCCCCTCCTCCGTTGCTAAGCTATGCTGCTATTATGCGGCTGGTACGCTGCAGCTGTGCCGCTGTTGATGCTATGCTGATGCTATGCTGATGCTATGCTGATCTTGTGCTGCTGCTATGCTCATGCTATGCTCATGATTGCATGCTGATGCTATGCTAATGCTATGCTGCTGCTATGCCGGTGATGCTATGTTGATTGCTATGCTGATGCTATGCTGATGCTACGCTCATGCCATCCTCATGCTGTGCTGATGATACCATGCTGATGCTACGCTCATGCCATCCTCATGCTGTGCTGATGATACCATGCTGATGCTATGCCGATGCTATGTCGATCGCGATGCTGATGCTATGCTGATGATGCTATGTCGATCGCTATGCTGATGCTATGCTGATGCTATGTTGATCGCTATGCTGATGCTATGCTGATGCTATGCTGATGCTATGCTCATGCTATGCTCATGCTATGCTGATGATGCCATGCTGATGCTATGGTGATGCTATACCATTGCTATGCCGATGCTATGCCGCCGATGCTATGCCAACGCTATGCTGATTCTATGTATTTGTGCTCCTGCTATGCAGATGCTATGCTGATGCTATGCTACTGCTATGCCGACGCTATGCTGCAGTCTGCTGTTGTGCTGCTGGTACTCTGCTGCTGCAGTTTACCGCTGGCAACCTGTTGTTGCTGAAATACTGCTTTCCCAATGCTTCTGTTATGCTTCCATAATGCGAACGAGAACGGAAGGGAACGGGGGGGGGGGGGAGAACGGAAAATAAGGGAGAAGGGTGCACCTTCCCCCCCCCAAAAGATAGCACACACACAAGAAAACTTACCCTGTGAGACAGTAGACAGACAGACAAGAGACGGAAAACACCAGGGTAGGCAACTCAGGGCCTCGATCGTGTTGCACGTCGTGTGACCTGATCTGGCCAGGCGAGCTGTACCAACATGCCAACAACCTAATGTGACCAGGTGAGCTGCACCAACATGCCAAGCCATAGTACATCACCAACTCATGCAGTTAAAATGCAGATCACAATGCATATTAAAAGTCATTTTGCATTTCGAAAAACACAAGAAGAAATACAGAGTGCGAGCACTCGCATCTTTTCTTTGTCCTCCCCTCCGTTCAGCACATGTGCATGTCGCCGCGTATTCAGACCCGGACTTTCCTTCATGTATTTGACCGCAATTACAGCCAGATTCCAGTCCAGAAATTCCGATGACAGTGAGGACTCAGGAGTCAACAGGAGCTATAAGAGGACTTCGTCATCTACTCACATGTTATTAAAGCACGTACCCACAGAGAGGGGTCTGCTTACAGCCAGATCGTCACAGCAACCTTAGAGGGGTTAACCGTAGAGGACCTAATTATAAAATTGGGCTCTAAGAAGGCCTTACTTAGAGCAGTCTAATTCCTCTCCTCTCACTCGTTCCCTCCACCGTCACAGAAACAGTAAAGGGGTAAAAAGTTAGACTAAAGGGGTAAAAAGTTAGACTGACTCTCAGGCCTTCTTTTTTTTTTTTTTTTGTGGGTAGGCTCCCTTCCCTGGCTCCTTTTTTTACTCCTTGGTGAAAGGAATAAGAAATTAAACTGACTCTAAGGCCTTGGAGGAGTCGCCCTACTGTGTTCACCCGAATACAACGTACGGGCATTATAGCCGTACTTGACTCGCATTTTAGTCCAGATGCAGATGCGATACGACCGTAGGCTCTATTGGGGGGAAGAAGGTAGCTCCTTCGCTCTACTGCTGCAACCCCTCTACTCCCTCTACTAACTCCTCTACCGGTAGTCCTCTACTTCAACCTGCTCCTCTACTAACTCCTCTGCCGTCTTCACCTGAATAGAACGCCCGGTCATTATCGCTGTATTTGGCACAACTTTCGGTCCTGATGCAGCTATAATGACCGGGCGTTCTACTCGGGTGAAGACGGTAGTCCTCTCCTTCAACCAGCTCCTCTACTAACTACTCTACTCCTCTACTAACTCCTCTACCGTCTTCACCCGAATAGAACGCCCGGTCATTATAGCTGTATTTGGCACAACTTTCGGTCCTGATGCAGCGATAATGACCGGGCGTTCTATTCCGGTGAAGACGGTAGTCCTCTCCGTCAACCTGCTCCTCTACTAACTCCTCTACTCCTCTACTTCAACCAACTCCTTCACTAACTACTCTACTACCTACTCTACTCCTCTACTCTAAGCAACTCCTCTACTCTTACTCACTCGCTAACTCTCCTCTACTCTCCTTCTATAGAACCGACTCCTCGAGTTTAGTATGCTAACTAACCAACTACTCAATGAACTCTGTTGAAACGTGAACCAGATTTTCGAATCCAGATGCGATGTCAGTAGGTCATATACATTCAGCATTACCGGCCCTTTTGCCTCAAGTGCAATTACAAACTCAAACCCTGACTGCGCCGTAGTTTTCTCTTTATTTTGATTATGTTCTTCTGATCATCGCATCTGGATTCGAAAATCTGGTTCACGTTTCAACAGAGTTCATTGAGTGTACCAACTGACAGCATACTCACGCGACGAGTTTGTTTCTCATTTATGGACCTGATTGCGGCCAGATGCATCGAGGTCCGGCCGTAATTGGAGTCGGGTTTTTTTTTTTTTTTTTTTTTTTTTTTTTT